GTTTGAATAAGTTAAAAGGACAGAGGATTAAAAAATATCTGATAAAAAAGCACCCTCAAAACATAGAATGATGTATTAATCAAACTTTACAGTACATGAAACAACTTATCTGTCTAATTTGTAGGAGTCCAGAGTTACTGTTTGGGGCAAGATCCTACGGCACTGGGGTAGACATGTGGGCAATTGGCTGTATCCTTGCGGAGATGTTGGTCCGCTGTCCGTACTTCCCGGGTGACTCTGATTTAGACCAGCTCACCAGAATCTTCACTGCCCTAGGGACTCCTGGTGACGATGACTGGCCGGTTTGTTGTTGAAGACTTTTTCTTCCTTCATCTTTGGGTGGTTTTGATGACTATATTTTGATTTATTTGATTTATTCAATTTTTAATTATTTGATATTAGATATCAATTTGGTGTGTATTTGGTGAGAGGTTTAATAGGTTTCTCTTGCCATTTTGGAAATAATTCTTTAAAATTGAGTAAGAAAACAAGAATGTTTAAAATGTTTGTTTATATTCATATCCATGCATGTAATTATTCTTTAGCATACCACCTGGAACCTGGTATTAAAGAGCAAATAATCAAAACTGACCAGGCAACTCAAAAATATAAATTTGATTCTGACCTTATTCCAAGAAATCATTGAAGAAAGAAAGACCTTACATCTTTCTGCTAGTCTTTTTAGATTTTTGTTTGTCTGGAATTTATTTAGCTATTTTTGATTTATGCATCATCTTCACCCACTCAATCTGGGGTGACATCCTCTCATTTCATGGCTTACCTTCTCTCATGTTGGAAAGAAATTATTTAGGAGAAATAGTTCCTCAGAAGAAGTAACTAGAGTTCCAATGATATATGTATAATGCATGACACTCTTCCCAGGACATGACAAAACTCCCTGACTACGTGTCATTCAAGCACTTTGAGGGTTCCCCGTTGCGAGACCTCTTCCCCGCTGCCAGTGATGACCTTCTCCAGCTCTTGGGATCTTTGCTCACTATCAATCCCATGAAACGATGCAGCTGTACTGAGGCTCTGAAGATGGAGTATTTCAGGTAAATATAAGTATATGTTATGGTATTATTTTTTGTGCATATTTACATATATTTCTTCCTTTTTAATGTATTTTGAGAATAATTTTGTTGATTTTTTTTTTTTTTTTTTTTTTTTTTTTTTTTTTTTTTTTTTTTTTTTAGATTTATTTTCTTTCAAGCATTACCTTTGCTTAAAGAGAATTACAATAAACATTGGATTACTCTAGATTACCATTTTAATCTTTCCTCTCCAGCAATAAGCCTGTCCCAACGCCAGGACCCATTCTGCCTCTCCCGCCATCCATTAGACAGAAAAGTGAGGCAGAAAAACCGTCCCTCAAGCGAAAGATTATCGAAGAGTCTGGCTTTGGAGGTATGTCTTTGCTTCACTACATTCACATCTATGTATGACTATTATCACATACAAAATACAAAAAAAGACTTCAGTCATTGTTCTTAAACTAGATAACTTTGCAAGTTCAGTTTATAGTTTTGGAGTAACCTGGAGTTAGCTTTTAATTCAAAGACATTTATTTTCAGGTTCCTTAGCAAAGAAGCTTCAATTCTAGTCCATACAAGGAAGAGAAAAAGAAGCACTACCTCCTGGTGTGCCAACGCTACCATGTTACTTAGTCGTAAAGGTGAAAATGGAATACCTTCAAATGAGGCGAGAGAGAAAGAGAGAGTCAGATTAATGACAGTGTGAGTGATATTGGTGTTGATACAAACTTTTTTTCTCTGACATGTTAAGGGTAAGAGATTACAGAATTGTCCGTTTATTTCCTTATGTACTTGAGTATTATGTAATATATTGATGTTCACAGGAAGTGTATTATTTTCTAAACCAGTGGAATTATTGTAAATCATTTCTGAATAAAATTTTGTATAATCAAACTTGTAAAGCCTAATTATTTAACCAAACGCAGGTTGTTATCTTGTTTTGATTTAAGTAGAGGGGTAAACGTTGAAGACCAAAATTACTGTAATTGTTGTGCAAAGAAAATGTGAAGAAAATTAAGATGTTAGAAAGGAGGAATGGGAGTAGGATAGTTACTTTCTGTAAAGGCAAACATAGATATCTTAAGGAATATGTGCCCTCCCAATACCTTGCTCATTGTTGTCATGGGAGTGTTTAGGAGATGGAGGCTGTGGCCCAATGTAGGGGATCACTTCTATCTTGGGCCTCAGCCCTCACCTCAACTAATTTTGCTTGTTTTTTTCTTCTCCCCTTTCCTCTTCCATATATTCTTCATCCCCTTCTATCTCATTTCTAAGGTGTGAGAGCCGTGATGAAAGGATGAAAGATTGGCTTTGTGTCAGTCATGAACGGCCTCTGGAAGCCATGGACATGGTATCCCCTTGGTTAATTGCCTAGCCCTTACCTGTTATGGGGACCCTGAGGGGTAGACCGTTTCTTTTCCCTATTTTACTCAAGGTTACCATGGCTAATAATGAAGATTATTTACCCTTAATAGGGGCATTAAGGCTTGCCTCTGCATCAATTAGCCTATCTGAATTTGATTTTGATGGTTTTCTGACCCCTGCCCCTCCCTTGACCATGGCTCCAACCACTGATACTAAAAGCCCTTCTCGACACTTACTGACAACTCTATTCATTCCAAAACACCCACCCAGGTTATTACTCAACCTTCAGAAAGTACCCCTTCCTCTCTCCCAACATTCTCCTCTCCATCTCCTACTGCACAGTTCTCTTCAATGTCCAATCCCTCTTCCCTTATTACTACTCATTCCTTATAGTCCCCCCCCAAAAAAAACTACTCCATTCCACACCACCCCATCTTCCTCTCACCTTCGTCCTTCTACTCCCTGTACCTCTGCAAACCTTTTGAGTACTCTCTTTGGCCCAGTCAAGTGGGATTGATTCTTTGTGATTCCCCCCACAGACCCCATTCTGAGAATACCCTTCTCTTTCAAGTGCCTCCAAAAACAAGTAGGCAAGGTTTTCTTTTGCAATAGCTCTGATTGTTCATGCCTTATATACCTTAACTGACCTCGCTGGCAAACCTGTTTCTGCCGAACCTCACCCTTCTCTTAATACTTGTAATGGAGCTGTTTCTATCCCCCCAAATACTTGTTCTATCTACAACAAGGACTGATCTGACTGAAAATTACTTACTCATCTATCTGCCTTGCTGAGTATGATGCAGCGGTAGTAGTGTTACACTATTCCTCCCAGAGGCCAGTGTAAGTTCCATGCCAATATTGCCAAGAATAGCTTCTGTAGACATGACCTCACCCATGAAGTTTATATTGGTGGATTGTTCTACCGTGTCCGACCATATCAACCCTTTCCTTTCAATGTCAGATATGTTAGTATTTTGGCCACCCAGCCAAACACATTTTCTCCACAGCCCGCTGCCTTCTATGTGCCTAAGCTGGTCATGACTGTTCAAATTGTACTGTTCAGTCACATCCTTGTGCCAATTATGGAGACGCTCATAATGTATTTTATAGGAGGTAGCAGTCCTCGGATTCAAACTAGGCCTCACTCTATGTGAGGCCAGACAAGAAGCACGACAACAAGGCTTTTCTCTCTCAACTTATTCCAAAACAGTCCTTCACTCTGCTTCCCCACCATCCGTACAAGATGTTTCTGCATCTCTCCCAGTATCTCTTCCCTATACCCTAAACCATCCTAGGTCTACTAACCCTATCCCCCAGTCAAATTCGTTTTCCAGTCTACATCCACACACTCCAATCTCTACCACTTCTCCGATACCTACCCCTCCTCCTCACTTTATTTGTCGCACCAGGCAACCTAAACGTTCCACTCCACCCTCTCCTACACCTTCCGCTTCTTTTGCTCATCAGATATCTATCTCCTCTTCTCCTCATAAGAGAACCCTTGTTTCTCAGTCCACTTCACCCAACTTACAAGACAATGTAACTTGTAGGAATCAATTAACATCTGAGAATGTTTCATGTTTCACAGACATGTGTAACTTTGAATGTGTACCAAACTCACTGGTTGGCAGGCTCACTCTTGACTTGAGTCTGTGGGAAGAGGCTGACCGGGTAAGTTAAAAAGTAGTACCTGACAATGAGACCTCATTCACCAAGCACATCCCAGCCATGTGTTGCCAGACAAGCACTGTTTGATTCTTATCTCCTCTACCCTACCTAGTCGGATTCTGAATGGAAACCTCTTTTAAGCACCTTTGTGATTGTATATACATATATAATTTTTTCACCTTCTTTTTGAAGTATTCATGGGGTTAAAAAAGTGTTGCATGAATGTAATTCTAATTCTTTAGATGTAATTCTCTTAACCATATATATATATATTTTTTTTAAAGCAAATTCATGGAAATGGTGGTGGTGTTATCTTGTATTGATAAAAACAATAAGAAAGAAAAGACCTGACGATATTTATCTTTACCATTTTCCCGAATAACTCTCCAAGCTAGGTACTCTGTCTTAAATAGAGAGGCTGTCCAGTACAGTGAAAAGATTGGGCAAGAAGAAACTCTGACTTATCACCAGGATGCCTACGGAACACCATTGTTACAGAGGAGTTAAAGAAACAAAGAGGATGACACAAGATGCATTCTGTGTTCAAGTTTATCCTTCCACTGCAGTCAAAAGGCCACCTTTAGGAAAATAATTGTCTCCTTCTATTCTGAAAATATTCTGAAAATAATATATATTTATGACTTTTCTTTAATCTGAAAATCTTTTCTTTTACTTAATTAGGAAATTGTCGAGTTCTGTTAATAAAGCACATATAGACTTCAAATTTGTCTTTTCTTCATAAAGATTCTGAAGATTTCTCTTCTACTAAATTTTCATTATATGGTGTTCTGAGATGAGAATTTCTTGGAGTTCCTCTAGTAAGCACTAGCAGAAACAAATAAGCCATTCTTGTTTTATAATTTTTTCCATATACTAAGCACTAACGACAAACATTCTGACTCAAATACCTAGATCGTATAATTTTTGCTTCTTTTATTTTGAGGTTATAGGCAAGATACCTGCATTTGGATAATCCATGGGAATAGTGTGATAGCATTCATGCCTTTGAAGTGAAAGTAGAGTCTTACTCATTACTTAAGGACATAAATATCAATTAGCTATATTTTTACGGAGACAAAAAAATCCATGAGGATTCTCAATATACTGTAAGGTTGTAAGGTTTTTTTTAGAATACTTTTTCTTTTTATCCATTTTATTTTATTAATTACTTCTGGTGTTGACAAATATGGTAATTTACAGTAGACTTACATACATTATATGTACACAAAAAGGAAATTAAATACATTATTATTTAATTTTCTAAAAAGTCAACCATATTCACAATGCTTACAGTTCACATCAGTTTTAACAAATTGTGTAACTTCATCTACCCCAATACCTCCCTTATTAAAAAAGAAAAAGAAAAACAAACCACAACAAAAAAAAGTTGCATAAAAAAGTTTACCCCATAAAAATAAAATCAACAACCACTATCTCTTCTTGTACATGCATGGTTTTAGCACAATCTCAGGCACCTCCTTTGCTTTCTTGCATTCACGGTTCTTCTTGAAGTCAAACATGTAGAAGTACTTTTGCTGGACCGTCTTATGGTGCAGTGGAATCCAAGACGTGTCACACTGGACAGGAATTCGTCAATTTTGGTAAATCGGCTCTCCACTTCTGCTACTTTCATGATACCACTGGGGAAAAAAGAAAAAGCAAGAAATATTAATTTGAGTGATAGCAAAAAAAGAAAAGAGAAATGGGAAGAAAAGAAAATACTGGTTGAAGAGAAAGAGATAGAAACAAATAAACAAATAAAGATAAAGATCCAACATATCTTTGAAACAAACAGAAGAATGACCTTCACAATAGCAGAAGCCTTTGAATGTGACTACCACTAAAAAAAAATTAGCGCTTAATGAATGTTCTCAGCTTTTATGGAAGCAAAACTTGAAAATACAAAGAAAGTAAGAAGAAAAGGTGAGAAAGGCGAGAGAAAAATTTTTCAAACACTGCCATACGTACCCATGCTTCAACACCCTATTGGCCTCAGTGACAAAATCCTTGATATTGGTGCCCATAAGTGACAGGCAGAAGACCACCACATCCACAGACCCTGATTTCAGGGGTGTGTGGGCCATGTCACAGGCAGTGACCCTGTTGTTGGCAGCCACCAGGTCAAAGGAGTGGACCTTCTTCTGCGGAACACTTATGGACAGCCTGGCTTCACCACACCCAAAGTCAGCAACAACTTAGGTCTAGGGAACGGAGTGGAAAAAGGGATGGTAAACTGATTGAATCACAAATGGATAGCTGTGCAAACTTTAAAAGGAAACCATGCCTATCAATCACCTAAATTTCTCTAAACATGCAAATACAGGGTCAAGGATGATATTGAATAATCAAAAGGTTCACTCCTGTTAATCCTTAAAATATAGAAATGGCTTAACACTGAAAATTATGTGTAAAAATCATACTGGTATTTGATATGATTCTCCTTCAAGTTCATTTGAAACAAAACCTGCTATGATCATTGTTAGAAGTCACCCTAGAACACTTGCCAAGAATACTTAAAGCTTGAAGAGAAGTGTTCCCGTTTAATTATTTTCCTAAGCCTTTCCCAATGTAACCTTCTCAAGTACCCCAACCCACCATCATACACTTCAAGCAGAGATGGAGGAGAGTACAGAGAGGCAAATTCAAGCATACTGACTATTCAAATGAGACTGAGACAAAACTGTCATAAATTACATTTGAGCATTACAAGGCTATCATACATTAGTTATTTCTTCTTGAAAGAAATTAAAATTGGACTTTTTCTCGACTTTTTCCCAAATTTTTTGTTATTATAAAAAAAATAATATAATAATAATATAATAATAATAATAATAATAATAATAATAATAATAATAATAATAATAATAATAATAATAATTATTTATTATTATTATTATTATTATTATTATTATTATAATATTATAATTATAATAATAATAAAACAATAATATTCATAACAGTAAAAATAATAAAAAGATATTAAAGCCTCTTTTTTCTGCCTTGTAAGGGTTAAAGTACAGAAAACAGTTACTCTAATACCTCTTGAATTCTATAACCATTAGAAAAAAAAAAATTATAAGACTGTAGTTGAAGAAGTTAATGCAGTAATCAAAAAGAAAAAGGAAGATTAGAGTCTACACAATGTTAAAAGTTTTACAATTGAATATACCGTTAAAATCCTTAAAATGTCACTAATTTAAATCACCATTTAATCTAAGTAACAACGATAGTGCTATTCAATATTTTTTTGCAGTTTTTGAATTAAAAAAATGAAGGAAACACTTGCTGTCAGGCTTTGAGTTATATTGTTATATATCTTAAATATGGGATCTAGTGATCTAGGCGCAACATCTTCACATCGCCGTGATATTTTGATATGTACGCTTATAATTAGGTAAAGAAACTAATAGTGAGTGAGCGAGGATAGCAGGGTCTTTTTTGTAAAGACATGGCCGCATTTGCGCTTTAGCTGTGTCGGTAGCAGGTTGGGTTGAGGAGTGATGAGGAGGCTTCCTCGTGTGCGGACCGATGCGTGGTGTGGGGGGGGGGGTAGAGGAGAGGCGCGCGGGATGATTGATAGAGTGGTGGGGAGAATGGCAAATATGAAATTAGTTGATTACTGTTTCCATTATCCATCATTTTCATTTATTTCTATAATTTCCTGGGGTAAGGATTTTAGTAGTTTTCTAATCTTATACACCATACCTGTGTGTGGAGATGAGACAAAAATGTATAAATTACATTTGAAGATTACAGGCTATATACATCAGTTAATTCTTTTGAAAGAAATGTAAAATTGGTTGTTTATTCGAAACTTTTTATCCCTAATATTTTGTATAATAAAAAAAAAAATTAATTATAGAATAGAATTAATAATTAATAATAATAATAATAATAATAATAATAATAATAATAATAATAATAATAATAATAATAATAATAATAATATAATAATAATAATTATAATATTATTATAATATTAATAATTAATAATAATTAATAATATATAATAATAATACAATAATATAAACAATAATATTCATAATAGTAAAAATAATAAAAAGATATTAAAGCTCTTTCTTTTTTTCCCTTGTAAGGGTTAAAGTCCAGAAAACAGTTACTCTAATTACCTCTTGAATTCTATAACCATTAGAAAAAAAAAACATTATAAGACTATAGTTATGAAGAAGTTATCAATGCAATAATCAAAAAGAATAAAAGAAGAATTTATGAGCGACTACAATGATAAAAAAGTTATCAATAAAGTAATAATAAAATATTCTTTAAAAACAGCAAAATTAATATCACCATTATACTGAACAACGACAACACATTTTAAAAGTAGAAGTAATGAAGGACACTTACTGTTTCTTCAGCCAATTAATGATAATATTAAGGGGGTTGATAGGCCACTGCTCCACCTGATTTTGGTAACCCAAGTGGTAGGACCTAAATGCATCAGGGTCTTTTTTGAACATGACCATTGCGCTTTTACTTGTCGTCGTGTATAGCTCCTCGTTCACCATCCTGTTGTTTAGGGAGAAGGCAATATTTATGTAATGGCAAATATGAAATAGTTATTACTGTTATCATTATCATCATCTTTCATTTATTTCTATATTTCCTGGGGGTAAGGATTAGTAGTTTTATCATAATCTATATTGTGGGTTATGATTTATAATTAAAGCCAAATGTTGTTATGTGGAAAAGGTATGAATGAGACAGGATATCTTCACAATACATGGGATGTATTTCACTGGTTTCGATTATGTCCTCATCAGAAATACATGTATTTCTGACGAAGACATAATCGAAACCGGTCAAATACATCTCTTGTATTGTGAAGATATCTAGTCTCATTCATACCTTTTCTACATTTGTCAACATGGATACAGTTCAAATGTTGTTATATTTACTTTTACTGATTGCATGACTTACTTACCTAAATCTTGCAGCATTGAGTTGAATAGTCATCTTCTGCCTCAAAGCATCTGCAGCACTCAGTTTAGGTTGTTCCTTCTCGGGTTCAGGTTCTGAAGCTACTGTCTTCTCATCTTTCTTTAGCATTTCCTTTAATAACTTCTTATCCAACTTTTTGTTTCTTGGGCTTGGTTCTGAGATAACCTCCTTCTTGTTTTCCAATTTGTTCTTTTTCCTCTTGCTTTCCACCTCTCCATCACTCTCATCATCGGCAACATCTCCGTCATCCTGCACTTTGTCTGCTGAGCTTTTATTCTCACCCTCTTCTTCATCATAGTCCGCCATTTCTTCCTCGGACAGATCTTCTACCTCTCTTGTCATGTCGTTGTCATTGTCATCATCATCCTCAAAATCCCCAGGATCAAACTGGTCAAAGTCAAGCTCCTTCAGTAATGCACCTAAGTCTGATGTAAACTGGGGGTCTTTTGCATAGAAAGCTTTTTCATCCTCTTCATCGTTTAACTCTTGCTTCTTCTTTGTCTTTTTCTTCTCCTTCTTAGCATTTGATTGTTCTTTGCTAGTAGTGGCTTTCTCTTCTTCATTAGGTGGTTCGAGGACATTTTTCTTTGTTTTAGCTTTTATTTTCTTTGATTTCTTGTGCTCTGTTTTTGAAGATTTTTCTGAAGTTGATTCTGTTTGTACATCAGTACAAGTATCTTTATTATCTATGGTGAAACTGTCTAAAACCTTCTTCTGTTTCTTTTGCTTTTTATTCTTGTTAGGTGTTTCAGTATTGCAGCCTTCAGGAATTTCCTTTACATTCTCCTTTACAGTAGACTCTGCAGTATGATTTGCAGACTCTGGGTTATTTTCAAGAGCTTTTCTCTCCAATTCCTTCTGTTTCTTAGTCTTCTTTGACACCTCTTCATTCCCAGCATCAGGAATTTCATGCTGGCTTTCATCTATATTTGATTCTGTAGCAAGTTCTGCAGGAACCGTGTTTCCTTTTACAGATTTCTTCCTTTTCCTTTTCTTTTTAGTTTTAATTGCAATTTCATCATCCGCAGCTCCAGGAATTTCCTGCAAACTTCCATTCTGATCTGAATTTTTAATGATTCCTTTAGAAACTGTACTTACTTCTAAATTCTCCCTCTCTCTCTTCTTCTGTTTCAAAGTCTTATTTGGTGTTTTTTCATTTGTATCTTCTGATATTTTTGGTAGTTCTTCCTTTAACTTTAAAATTACACTTTCTTTTATTGCTTTTTCCCCATTTTTCTTCAGCTTTTTTGTGCTTAAATCTGACCCAGTAACAGGTCCTGCTAACATTTCATAATTTTCAACCTCATTTTTTTCTGATGATTTTTTGTTTTTCTTCTTTTGTTTTTTGTTCTTGCCAGGTACTTTTCCATTCTCAACTTCTGAAATTGACTCTGAAGTTCCATTAGTAAGTCCTGCCACAGTGACTTTTTTGTCCTGTGTAATAAGGCCAGCATCTTCATCTTTGATATTTGTACCATTGACCTCAACAATTTTTCTTTTCTTCTTTTGCTTTTCAAATGACTCTTCTGTGCCTCCATTTTTCTCTTCCACTTCTAACACATTTATAACTTTATCAACAGTTAAACCTGCATCTGGTATGGATCGAGATGGATGCCACTTGGTGCTACCATCATTTTCCTTCCTTCGCTTCTGCTCTTCATTGATCTCCTTGTACTTGTTCTTATTCTTATTCTTCTTATGATGAACGCCATTCTCGCTCGGATTACCTGGTGTGTCAGTCAAGCTCTGTTCAGCTTCTTTCTTCTTATTTGTCTCTGCAGTGGGTGAGTTGTCCTGAGCTGCACTATTGCTCAATTTTCGCTTCTTCTGGACTTTTGTATTTCCTCCATCCTTACGTTTCTTGCTGCCTCCAGTTATTGCCTGAAATTGGATGTTTTGTATTTAGAATTTTTCTGTCTTCTACTTTACATATTATGTTAATTAAATAATTGATCATATACTGAGATGCAGCAGGAGTGGGTGACCAGGTGATAAGAATCTACATCTTGAAAGTACATTATAACAAGTATATAATACTTCTCGAAATTTTGAAGATCGTAAACTGATATGCTAAATTGTATGGCACACATACAATTTACAGGTAATAAGTATGACCCTAACCTAACCTAATTGAGAGTGGTATCATTTACACATAGCAAGATGCCATCTTGTTTGCTTCATTATGCATGCATAGGCTTCTCTGCTGTACCAGTAGTCACTTCATTTAAAAAGAAGGTAATTTGTTCTAATAATTCCGCAGGACAAGTCATGATGATTATGGTACCATTGGATTCTTCACACTCTATAGTTTCCACATGTATAGAAATGATTGTGTGGAAACCCCTACATTCTTGGTCTCATTAGTAATGAAGGTCATGAAAGGTACCAGGAAATTTTCAGGGTAAAATATGAATAATCTACACAGTATCAGCCACTATATTGTCTAATGCAAGGGGCTCTATACACTGATGGTTGGAGAGTGTGTCGGACAGACTTGGTAACAGTGCTCCTGCATGGCAGTCGTATGCTCTCTAAATAACCTTTAATGATCAGAAATAACAAGCAACAATTAGCCTAAGATCACTTACCACAGGAACTTCAAGTGGCTGCTCGAAATGATACGAAAATGCATTGGTGTTTCCCCAATCTGGTATATCGAAGCTCATTTTGGACTCTTGAGTGAAATATCTGGTTTAGATTGAAGTCACACGCGAGAATTATTGGTCTAGGAGAAAGTAACCCATGCCAGACAAGGGAAAAGAACAAAAGAACAAACACAGCAGATCGGTGTGAGGATGAAAAGACACACGTGAGAGAGACACCGCGTTTGTTTACATGTTATCCTGACAGGGAAATGTGCCAGAGATTAAATGAGATTAAATGTCTTGTTCTATTTTATGATACTTTATTTGTGAGTTAGTGTATACAATTTAACTCAAATAAATATAAATAGCAAAATTTATAGAGTTAAAGCGATTATTGGGGAGAAAAGGAAAAATATAGATGTGAAGATCTCGGTTAGTATAACGTTAACCAAAACAAACAGGCGAGAGGCGGAGAAACGTTTAATTTCATTACTATTTGTAACGAAAACACGATTATAAATTAGGTAAGAGTAAATTTATCCAGGCAGTTCTTTATAGTGTTAAGGGAGATAATTCAGTGAACTTTGTTAAGGGAATTACATGTTATAGGCGAAGAACTACATGATTTCGGTTTTGTTACAAGTGGTAGCATATGATAAACGTTTACCATGATTATTCATTACCGAAAACCAGGGAGTGGGAATGGCAAGTTATAAAATAAAAATCAACCCAATCAGATTATGAAAGTGAACACTAGGGTTTGGGAATGGCTTTGTAGATTCTGAACTTTCATGAACATTCGTTTGGAATTCCAGTTAAGTTTCTAAAATTTTAACCATGTGTTTTTCAGATTTTTATATTATTATGACTCAACTGCAATATTTGCGATTTCATATGGAAGGTGAGACGGAAATTAATTCTTTGGAAGCAATGTTGTTATGTTAGATGCATTTGTATTGTGATATTTCAGAATTTCTTTTATTTAATTTCTTAATTGCTTAATTTAGGCAAGCAAGTTGTTCTTTCTTAATTAAATGAATCAATTTTATCTTTAGGATATTCTTAATTGCTACTCAAGAAAAGAATGAGACAGTGAAAATATTAGAGTAAAATTATTTTACAATGGCTATTTGTATGACCAGTTGGACCAATAACTTATGACCTATTCTTGTGACATGGGGAAGTTCCATTACTGTAACTTCCCCATATTGCATTCCCTATGCGCATTCACCATGATTTTGCACTTAGGTAATTACATGGTATTATCATTGTGTACTGTGATGTGGCTATTGTCTGTTGTGTATTGCCTATCCTACCAAGTTGGGTGAGCAGCCTCTGATAAGTGAGAATAGCCTCAGCGTTTGATTTATTGTCAAACATTATTTTAGTTGTCTCCTTCATACAATACAAATATAGAAGAAGCTTTACTATACTCTCTCTCTCTCTCTCTCTCTCTCTCTCTCTCTCTCTCTCTCTCTCTCTCTTTCTCTCATCTCTCTCTCTCTCTCTCTCTCTCTCTCTCTCTCTCTCTCTCTCTCTCTCTCTCTCTCTCTCTCTCTCTCTCTCTCTCTCTCTCGTTCTCTCTCTCTCTCTCTCTCTCTCTCTTTTTCTCTCTCTCTCTCATACTATAAAAAAACTAATCTCCCTACTTTCTCCTCATCCAAGCCCTCTGTCTCATAGAAAAATCCATCTAAAGCATTTGAACGATTTCATACTTCATAAAGAATCATCTCCCTACTTTCTTCCTCATTTCATAATCCTCTCTCTCTTTTAGTAAAATCTGTGTACAGCTCTAGAGCAAAGTCTTCTACTTCAAAAAAAAAAATCATCTCCCTACTTTCTCCCTCTCTTTCTACTCCTCTCTCTCTATTAGAACGAAGTCTCAAACCATCCTATGACGGGATGGTGACATCACCCACCCCTCAGCCATATTTTCTTCAAGACAGGATCGTGGTGTCATCCATAACTAGGCTCAATTTTTTTTTTCTGACAGAAAGGTCATGTCACCTGTAACTTGACTCCATGATGGTCTTTTCATCCAGATAAAGCAAGTAAACATTACCATGTACCATATGTCCAAGTGAAGCTGATACTATACCCGAATATTCAAAGTAAGCATAAATAAATATAATAAATATGATATCAACAAATCATTTCATATAAAATTCTTAACACTGTGGCTATTCTTACGATACCTACAACAGTTACAGCATAGTACACAATGACAATACCACATGCAATCGTATGTGTGAAATTATAGTGAATGCGCATGGGTTACCGTAACTTCTCCCATGTTGTAAGAATAGTCCATGAATTATTGTTATGCCTGGTCGTTAAAATAGTCACATTCAAATTATGACATTCATAGAACATTTTAGTATTTTATGAAAGCCATCAATTGTGTTGCCACATACATCTCTTATAATCTCTTATGTTCTTGCCATTCGTTCACAGATCGGCAATGGAAGACTTGTTAAACAATCTCACAGGGGTTTCAGTGACAGAGCACCTGAACACCCCATATGCAGAACACCCATATTTTGCTCTGTATAAAGCCAAGCGGACAGGTTCGTCCCAGGAAGAGAGAAGGAAAAGAGTTCTAGATGCAAGGAAGGAGTAAGTTTTGGAAGTAAATTTTGTGAAAATAATTTCTTGTGGTTGAGGATGAATATGGAGTAGGCCTAGATGACGTAAGAAAATGTGTGAACATGCTTGTTTTTTAAATTTCTCTCAGTGTCTGTGGATTATTTAAGTATTATATATTTGGTCATTACTTACTTAATTTTGGAATGCAATCTTCTCACAACTTTTCCTCTTTTTGATATTCTCATGTAACCCTCTCTTTCTGACACCCGATGAGGGAGAGCTCTTCCTAGGTAGGCAGGTCATGCACACAACTCACCCTGTATGTCAGGATGCTGCATGCCTTTATTGCCTGTCTTACTGAGTTTGGTGAGCAGCCTCTGATGAGTGTTCGCAAACCAGGCACTTATTATGTTAGTGGAAAGTGAAAACAAAGGCAGGTATCCACAGTTTATTGGCAGACCACAGTTTATTGACAGGAACAAGTCACTCTGTTGGGGGAAAGACTGTTACCCCATGCACATGCACAGATTATTCCACCTGCCCACAACAGGATAACAGTCAAATTTCCTTAGAGAGAACCACAATGGAGGTCGCAGCTACAGTCATAAAACATGCTTCCAGATCCCTCTCACACACCATCAGTCAGCCACCCTCTGAGACCCGTCATGGAGGAATTTGTTACCTTGTGCCGCAATGACTGCAGTGTTTGGGCCAGATTTTTTTTGTTGCTTTAACACATTCACACATTGTTATAAATGCACTTTTTGTAACAATATATACTACATTTAGAAGTAGCTAAGATATGTCAGATTTAAAAGAAAGAGAATAATAAAGCCTTTCAGAAATCCAGATTGAAAACAGAGAACTTAAGAATTTTTAATTGCTGGAGCATCAGCATCTGTATAACCTAATTAGGCCACTGTTATTTTGACATTACTGGAGTGTAGACACTTGTTTATATTTATCAAGTATCTTGAGAAATTATGATTGTGAAAGTTTGTGAATCTCCAATAATATAAAGAGCAGTTATTCATATTTCTTTTGTGTCATTGGCAAATAATTCTGTGTTAAAAATACTGTTGTTGTCAAAAGTAGAAATAACCTGTGTTTATGTCCCCAGGGCGAGGTATGATCTCCTCAGTCACTTGCGTAACATTGAAGAAGAAAATGTTGGCTCAGAGGGTAGTTCTTCAGATGATAGCATGGAATGTGAAAAGGTTAGTGAATATGATGATACTTTATGAAATGAATGAAGAGAAAAGCAGTGAAAATGATTTACTAAAGAGAAATTTGTTTGAAGTAGAGAGAGAGAGAATGAAAAAGATACATGAAGCCCTATTTTTTTAACAGGAAAGGGTATGTTATAGGAGGCCAAAAAAATACCGGAACTTCCTTATGATGAGTGAATGGTTAGTTGACGTTCCAGAGGACTTTGCTGCATCATACCTCTCAGTGCTATGTCCTGTGGGGAAAAGAACTCTTATTGTGTCAGCTAGGGTAAGTAACTGAATTTTTTTTTTTTTTTTTGTTATTGTGATGCATAATTATTTATGACATTGTAAATTGCTTAGCTGTCAATGTATATTCCAAGAAACATTTTAGTTTATTTATATGTTTTGTGAAATAACCAGTGTAGAAAATTACTTGACTAATTTACATTAAGTAATAAATCTCAAATGATGTTTTTAAAGAGTCCTTGAACTGTGGTATATAGCAGGGGTGTCAAACAAACGTCCCACCACACTCCTATGTGTGGCATATTGGCTATTACAGTCTTATAGTCAACCACTTTACATGATTAAGTGAGTCATTTGGCTTTGAAGATTATCACACACTCTTACATTTTTTTTATTGTGTTTTTATAATATATCAAATAGCCTCCTACATTTTATGTCAACCATATGGCTGTTTCATCATTTCAACTCATGATTATCTGGACCACTTAGTGTATATTAAAGTGAAAGTTAAAAGAGTATAGCAGCCCTACTATATTGGCAAAAATGTAAAGAAAATATAAATGCTACACATCCATGGGATTCCAAATTTTGAACACCTCTCTTCCAGCTCTAAAACCTCTCTCCTTCCCACCCACATAGGGCAGAACGCGAGCGTATACCAAAGCAGGGATAATGGTGAACCAGTTTCCCTCCCAGCTGCCTGGGGGTTGCTACTACAGCAAGAGAAAGGGCTATGCACTGCTCGACTGTATCTGGTCAGAGACGGAGAAAACTTACTTTGTACTCGATCTTGTTGTGTGGCTGAACCAATCAATTATGGAGTGTGAGGTGAGTTGATTTTTATTGTTGTTGTTGCTATGATAATGATGGTGATAAATATTGTTTCTTTTTATTTATTTTATTTATTTTTTATTTTTTTTTTTTTGTGTGTGTATTTGATTTTATCCTTTTCTCTTACCTTTCCTGTATTTCTTTTAGAATTCATTTATTTTTATTTTATGATCTTGTTGGCTATATCTAAATCTCGCTCTCTTTTACACTTCTACACACTTTCTTTTTCAGACACTGTTTAGATTTGAATGGGCAAAATCAAGGATATTAGAGGAGACTCCGGATGCTACTGAAATATCCAAATACAATCCCTACAGGTGAGTGCTCGATAAAGTTTATTGTGTACCTATTTTTGTTGTCAAGGTGTTTGAGATGGGACTGTGGTCTTTGTTTTATTCAGTGATTGTAGTTACTTCCCTGTAAAGAGATGTTTTTTAATGTTTTGTACCGTTTTATTGTTTATTGCTTTATTTGGCTTAATTTTATTTAGCTTTACAGTCTCTCTCTCTGTCTGTTTCTCTCTCTGTTTCTTTGTCTCTGTTTCTCTCTCTCTCTCTCTTGTTTTTCTCTCTCTGTTTCTCTCTCTCTCTCTCTCTCTCTCTCTCTCTCTCTCTCTCTCTCTCTCTCTCTCTCTCTCTCTCTCTCTCTCTCTCTCTCTCTCTCTCTCTCTCTCTCTCTCTCTCTCTTCTCTCTCTCTCTCTCTCTCTCTCTCTCTCTCTCTCTCTCTCTCTCTCTCTCTCTCTCTCTCTCTCTCTCTCTCTCTCTCTCTCTCTCTCTCTCTCTCTCTCTCTCTCTCTCTCTCTCTCTCTCTCTCTCTCTCTCTCTCTCTCTCACCCAATAGAGGGAGTGGGTACTGAAACTGTATTAAAGCACAGGCTACATGTCTATCGTATGAATAATATCATGATCTCTAGTAACTGGGTTTAACATTATCATGTGTAATTCGAAATTGAGGTTGATTTAGCAGCTGTGGCAAGGAGCCATAATATAGATGACAAAAGAAGATAAACCTTGAATTTTTGTTAGACTGATGATAGAGCAAAGGTGTTGTTATTTAAAATATGAGGAGAGGTGGAAATCAGGCTCATTTAAAATTTTTTTTGTGTTTGTGATCTTAAACTCTATACTTTGGATTACTAATTATATATCAGGAATTGTTGATTGCCATGAAAAAGGGCCAGAGGTCCATGAATATTCTAACAAGTTAAAAGAGGTAGGTATGAGGATAAATAACTTGACAGTATGAGATATTTTCATTCATACCTTACGTACCATTTGTCGTGATGACCTCTGTTCATTCAAACATAAGCCTAACTTGGAACTGGAAGATATCAGGTGAGGAGTACATTGAGTGAAATACACCGAGACCTGTGACAAATTCACATTGGGTATTTTCCTTTTCCCCACAGATTCGTACCCTTACCCCATTATGACTGCTCTCCAGAGACCCTGACCAGGTTAGTCAACGAACCCCTGCCGTTCCGTGTGCCTCTTGACGGCATCCTGTTTTACCACAAGGAGAGCCACTACACCCATGGCCCAACACCACTGGTGGGTTGGCTCAAGGCCTATATGTTCCCTGAGATTTTAGGTACGGATTATTATTATTATTTTTTTCTTAATGATATATGTGGCTTTTTTTTTTAATGATATATTTGGCTTGTTATTCTTAAAATTTCATTTGGAATATTCAAAAGGCTTGATCTTCTATCCATTTTTTCTCCTTTTCCTGAGGTATAAACCAAGTCGCTCAAGTGCACATATCGGAAAGGCCAGCCAAATACATTAGCCTTCCCGCCCACATCCAGTATGGCAAGGACAGGCAGCAGCAGAAACAGGAGGCCTTAAACAGAAAGGTAGGGAAACGGAGAGTGGAGTGCGTGAGGAGGAGGAGGAGGAGGAGGAGGAGGAAGGAGGGAGGGGAGAGGGAGGAGGAGGAGGCAGGAGGAGGAGGAGGAGGAGGAGGAGGAGGAGGAGGAGGAGGAGGAGGAGGAGGTGGTGGTGTGGTGGAGGAGGAGGAGGAGGAGGAGGAGGAGGAGTGGTGGTGGGTGAAGAAGAAGAAGAAGAAGAAGAAGAAGAAGAAGAAGAAGAAGAAGAAGAAGAAGAAGAAGAAGAAGAAGAAGAAGGAAGAAGAAAGGAGAAAGAGGAGAAGAAGAGAAGAGGAAGAAGAGGAAGAGGAAGAAGAGAAGAGGAAGAGAGGAAGAAGAAAGAAGAGGAAGAGGAGGAGGAGGAGGAGGAGGAGGAGGAAAGAGGAGGAGGAAGAAGAAGAGGAAAGGAGGAGGAAAAGGGGGATTGGAATAAGTTGATGGAAAGAGTGTTATGTGGAGTGGAAGTGGGGGACATGGAGTAGGAGTGGGAGTGAGGGGTGAGCAGAGGAAACAAAGAATGGGGAGAAAGAGGGATAGAATAGAGTGTAAAAGAGGAGTGAGAGGGAATGGGAAATTGACAAAATAGGGAAGAGAGAGAGAGACAAACAGGAAGTTGTGGGAATGGGAAGGAGAGGAGAATGGAAGAAGGGAATGGAAAACAGGAAAGAGGGGAGGGAGTGGTGTTATGAATTGAAGTGGGAGAGTGAAGATGTAGATTGTGAAATTAATTGTTCTTTGCACCATCTATCTTAAGTAAATTATGATAACATTAACTTTCTTGTTTTTTTCCAGATGGAGGTTTCAGACGAGAATAACAAAAGTCCAAGAGAGAAAAGCAAAAAAGTCAAAGATGTGAAGGACAACCAGGAAAATACCTCAGACATGGTAGGAAATTAGTATTTTTATCCTGTGAATGGGATAATGAGCATAAGTATGAGAAAAGAGAGAGTGAGATGAGAGAGAAGTGAAAATGAAAGAGAGAGGAAAAGGGAGGAAAGAGAGGGAGAAAGAGAGAGAAAGAAAGAGGAAAAGGAAGAATGTGAATGGAAAAGAGAGGCTGAGAGAGAGAGAGAGGATAAGAGAGAGGTAAGTGTTTATGTTTGTATGTGTGTGTATGTATGTATAAGAGAGAGGGGGATGAGAGAGAATATGTAAGTGTTTATGTTTGTGTGTATATTAGTAACATCTCTTTCCCTATTCTTTACAGATGGAGGTTTCAGCAGAGAATAAAAAGAACCCCAAAGGGAAAAGCAAGAAGGTCAAAGATGTCAAAGAAAAGAGCTCAGAAATGATGGTTAGTTATATATATTGAGAGAGAGAGAGCCAGACAGAGACAGAGAGAGAGAGACTATATATATATATATATATATATATATATATATTATATATATAAGAGAGAGAGAGAGAGAGAGAGAGAGAGAGAGAGACAGGGAGGGAGGGAGGGAGGGAGGAGGGAGAGGAGGGAGGGGAGGGAGGGAGGAGGAGGGAGGGAGGGAGGAGGAGGGAGGGAGGGAGGGAGGAGGGGAGGGAGAGGGAGAGAGAGAGAGGATGACAGAGAGAGAGAACTAGTATAAACAAGTACATTCTGGGGACTATTGGTATAAATACCGATCGGAATCAGGTCCTACTGCCGGTTTGTTAGAATTGTGCGAGGCCCGACCCAAAGAATATTCGTATTCTTGACATGCATAAATAAAGAAATAAATGCATATATATCAGTCTGGACATGCATATCAACCGGGAAAATAGACAGTTAAATGTATATCTATCAGATATATAGACAGATATGCCTTTATTTCTGCGTCTGTATTTCTGAAAATTCATAGTCGGGGCACAATTTTAACAAACCGGCTGTTTCCACATACTACGTGGATAAGGGAACGAGAGGAGGTACAGACAGGTCATCAGAGGGCAGCAGTAAGGGTGAGGTCACTGGCAGGACAGGCAAAGGATTTCACCGATGAATTTTGTCGCAAGTTGAATTATAAGAAAGGGAAGTGATGGTAATTGAGTAGCGTGTCCTGATGTTTGAGCCTGTGTATGTATCTGGAGAGGGCATAACGTGAAAAACGCTCCCCCACACTCGCTTCCAAGTCTACCACTCACCGCCCCTAATAGAGGGAAAGAGGGTGTCCCCTGACGCAAACAAGCTCCCTTTACAGACCCGCCATCAATCCTATCCCGACCGATTCCGTCGTTACAAAGGGGCATTTCCCTTCCTCTCTTCGCACACCGACGCAACCAGGGCCTGACTCACTCTCCCACCGCTTGATAAAACTTTTCACCTACTTTTCCGCACACAACCAGCGAATCCTTGAACTAAAACATGGGTTATATTTCGTGCTAGCCATAGGGAGAAGGGAAGAATGTACTAGGCTTGGTTATATGAAACTAGTATTGTTAGTCACTTTCTAGTGAGAGAGAGAGAAGGGGGAGGGAAAGAGGGAAGGAGAGAAGGAGAGAGAAGAGAGAGAGATAACTTTTATACCTCTTTTTTCTTGATTCTTTACAGATGGAAGTGTCCTCCGAAAACAGCAAAAATCGGAAAGGAAGAAAGAAAGAGAAGGTTAAAGAAAGTCCGG